CTATTATAAATATATTTTCCCGTGTAAGATATATATTCTTCAGCCTGAATCTTTCAATTGTAGAAAATTACTCTGGAGGGCAATTATTTTGGGGGGGGGGGCAGGAGGGGTCAGGAACGAGCTCCTATTACTCTGTGGAGACCCCAGGCAGCTCATGAGCAATTCCCCAGCAACCCACCTGAAGGCCTACAGCTTCTTCCCAAAATGTGAGGCGGCTGCCTAAGGCCCCTCTTGCTCCTTCGAAGCCCAACCTTGAGATGCCAAATGGGGACTGATAATGCTCTCCAGTCCCTCAGAAGCCTCCCCTGAAGGGAGGGAGCCATGCTCCTCAGGAGCCCCCAGGGACGGGCTCTGAAGGGGACCCCAAGCACATGCTGAGGAGAAACCGAAAGCCTTCCCTAGTTCTAGGACAGAAGCCTCTGCTGAAGAATCAATAACTGGAAACATAAACTATTAGCACAGCGAAGAAGCAACGCGCAGTGAACAGCTGAAGGCAAAAACCGGCTATAGATGTGAGGCTTCCCTAGCAACAGCCCTTAACGCTCCTATGCCACTTCCCAGGGCTCTGCAGCCCCCCCCCCCCCCCCGAGCAGTTCAGTGTCAGCCTCTTGCCCCCAACAATCTGGGTCCTCATTTTTTCGCCCTCGGGACGGAACGCCGAGTCGACCTTAAGCCGGCCAGGATCAAACTAGGGATACACAATTCTGTGAAAAAGTGTTTCATCTATTTTGGGCTTTTCTGAATCCAATTTTCTACCCGGATGATTGAAGGCAACAGGCGGATCCTGTCAGCCGCTTAGAGAGGGCTGTCAAACACTGTGAAGCGGTAAATAAATCTAAGTGCTGTTGCTCTCTCTTTGCCCCGAATGTGAATGGAAAGGGGTCCTGGTTGAACAGAGAACACCAACGGGGGGGTATTTATTTCATCCCACAGAAAATGCACTATTTGGCCAAAAAAGCTGCCCATCCTTACATCAGCAAGAAGACGTTGTTGAGGACATTTCTGCAGACAATTCTCTTTGAAGAGGAATTTAACGTGAGTTGTTAAAGATGAATGTACAGGAGTTGTGAGCCTACCCTTTTCATCAACTGATTTGTGAGGCCCTGCAGGGTGTTCACCGTGTATGTTTTCATAAGATGCACCGCTTTAGAAAGACACTGGTTGCACTTTGCCAAATATACAGAGTAGTCCCTAAAATTTGGCTGGAAAAAGAGGAAAGGGTGTTAAACAAGAGCGACAAATAAAAAAGTTAAATGATGAACAAGGGAATGATGGATTGCATGCTTCAAACTGAATGTACAGAAACGTTCTAGGCAGTCAAAGTTCCCTCTGCACCAAATTAAAAGCAAGCAAAAACGCCATATTCGTCCTAGACAAGTCAGGGGGTATCTAACCGTGGCAACTTTAAGACCCGTGTACTTCAACTCCCAGAATTCCCCAGCCTGCATGGGGATGGATGGACGGATGGGGCATTCTAGGAGTTGAAGTAGACGGGTCTTAAAGTTGCCACGGTTAGATACCCCCTGACTTAACCACTGAAAAAAAGTAAAAGAACATATTCTTTGGCCCGTAAAGAACACATTATATTGCGCTATCCTCCAGGCAGAAATTAATGAAATATTTTTAAATCAAATTTATACAGTGCCCATCTCACTCTCTAGGTGACTCTCCGCACAAAGTCAGTGCAAAAATAAACAAAAATTAAAAAAGATGGAGCGAGCGCCCTGAAGCCGCCAGTTCCGTCCTCTAAAGGAGTGTGAAGGACAGGAGCAATACTTACATGGGAGGAAACGTAGGCTATGCAGTCATCCAGCTTGTTCAGCATCGGGATGAAACTTTCACTACTGACAGACAGCGTAGGTGAATTCAGTTTCTTATTGGAGGCAAAACAAAGAAGTCAATGAAAATGCACAACCAAAGAAATCTTGATTTAATACCATTATTACGCAACATGCTTTTTTAGCGTTTAAAAAATAATACTTTTTAACATTGTCTCATTATCTAGTACCATTTTTAAATACATTTAGTATTCTCTTTAGAATGACAATTTTTAATCACACTTTCCCACCTCTCGTCAACATAAAAAGAATTAGGAACCACAATCCACAGCCCTTCAGGGGGCTTGGAAAGAATGCCAGCCGGTATCTCTAGGGGGACAGGGGTCTCAGCTGGCTGGGGAATTCTGGGAGTTGAAGTCCTCCGGCCTTAAAGTTGCCAAGACCCCTGCTCTAGGAGGGGAAGACAAAGATGCTGTGATTGAAACAGAGGGACTCTGGAGAAATCTGGGGATGTAGGTGAAATTCCCACTGCCCTAAAACGCAGCATCGCGTGGCTGCGACTTACGGCGGCAGTGGTGGCAGTCCGAGTCGCCGTCCTCACACGAGTCCTACGTGGTAGTGGCGTCCCAGCTGATGGATTGCCATTTGCCGTTTCCCGCCGGTTTCCCCCGCTGACCTGTCAGACGCCCTGAAGGCCCCGAAGGCCGCTGTAACTCTGGGCCATCCGCCAAGTGCCCCAATGGCGACACCAGGGACCCTGCAAAGGCTGCTGCAACTACCGGAGCCCCCGTTCAGCACCAGGGGGGACCCTGAAGGGCTGCTCCTTCAATGAGACAACTGGCACATGCTCCCCCTTCCACCTTCCATTGTCTTGCCTTTCCATTTTAATGCCTCTTAGGCTTTTCCTCTTTCATTGTCTTAAAAGAGGGAATTAAAACACTCCAAAGAGCAAAATCTTACCCATGTTTACTTGAAACAAAGTTTTAATGAGTTCCATGTGTGTTTCTGTTTACTAGATTTCAACTGTAAACCACTAATTATGAAATGAGTACTAGTTATTAATCTTCCTTATACACTTTTAGAAAGAACTCCAAACGCAGAGGCTGGGTTTTTGTTTTTAAAGAAATGATAAAGAGGCTAAGCAGCTGCACCTACTGTATTAATATTTTCCAGTTCAATGAAATAGGACAGTTTCTGATGGACATTTTCTGCCAGGTCCACGAGCTCCGACTATTTAAAAAGAAATGAAATATTTACTAGCAGGTAATTAAAAGCATGCTATCACATACAATGTGGAACCACCTCCTAAAAAGAAGAGATTCATAGATTATTAAATTTATATTAACATTTCAGTATAGTTCCTAACATTTCACTTGGATACAAACTTGGTATGACAGTGTTACGCAGAAGAGAACAACACTATTGTAATGGACTAAGGGATTCAATTATTTCTTAATTCCTAATTAAGATCCAGGTAGCGAGTTGCACTAGAATGAGACCCAGTCTGGTGCCAGCATCCTAGGGCTGGCCTAGAAATCCGGAGATAGAGAGGCCCAGGCTTCCCTTCGGCGTGAAAGCATGGATGTCTTTGGGCCAGTCCCTCCCACTCAAGACCAATCCCCCTCGCACGGCTGTTATTGTGGGGGAAAGAGGAGGCAGGGATATTAGGTCTGTTTGCTGCCTAACTTGTATATAACTATATCTAAATCTAAATGATATATAAAAGATACAGGTTAAAAAGATAAGGCAACTGTCCCAACAATTCTTCTTACTTGTGAGGCATTTGTTCACGGTGGTAGATGATTTATCTCTGTAACAGTTTATTAAAAATACCCGGTCTAAGGAATGTGACGCTAGACTCCTCCAAAACGCCAATTCCTTCACTTGTGGCCTTGGGACAAGAGAAGTCTAACCTTATCTTCTGCCGTTCAACCCTGATGTTACCTGCTCTTTTAGCAGCTGCTCGCAGGCTTCGTGCAGGGTTCCTGTTTTGGTTGAGACAAAGAGGTATTGTTCCTGCAGTGACTTAAGGTGCTGGAGAGCACAATTCACATCATTCAGTATGGCATCACACTGCTCTTCGAATCCAGAATAAGCTGCCCTGGCCAGCCTTGGAGAAACACACAAACCACAGTGCCTTTAAGTGTTTGTAGTAGCCATGGGAGAATTGATACAACAATGCAGAAATTTTGGACTGCCTGTTGTATAACGACTGTGGGCAGTATAACGTATGGTAATTCTTTGTATACCATGGCTCATTTGGGAAACTAGGACACATGGCGAGGGAGATGATAAAAAAGAGAAACAAGTTCATTGGAAAATCAAGAGAAAATAGCTCTATGTAAACCGGAGAAAGAACAGAATATACAAAACGACTTTAAGATTCCAAATATCTTGTTGAATACATGAAACGAAGGAAAAAACGATGCTAAGTGTTCAAGATATTGGAGGAATTAAAGCTTTTATCAGCTGCTTTAGTCATAATTGATGGATACTGCACATATTCACATTACAATTAAGGGAAGAAACACACACACACATACATACTGGTATTTGGTCTCCTCATCTTGATCCATCTGTGTATGAAGTTGATCAAACCACGAGAAGAACTAGACCAATGAAAGAACAAAGCTCTTAAAAAACCACCCTTAACTCAGAAGAAGCAGACAATTTTGTTCTCTTTATTGTTTGCTATTCTCCTAAAAATGTTGAAGAAATATTTTAGGAAAGGATTTATCAAATGTCAATCAAAATCGGAAGGGAGCTGCAGTGTTTCCCTCCCACTCAATTGTATCCTCTTCTTGGATAAGGTCTGCATTTTTCTTGGCAAGGTTTCCCACAAGCAGTTTGGCGTTGCCTCCTTCCAGAGGTTGACGGGCAGTGACTAACCCAAGACCACTAGTTGGCTTTGTGGCCAAAGCAGGACTGGAACTCAGATTCTCCCAGTTTGTAGCCAGGTGCCTTAAACACTTCACCAAACTGGCTCTCAGCTACTATTACTGTTATTATTACTGCTGCTTGCATAAAACTTGTCAATCCTTCCCTCACAAATCCCATCATTCATTTTTTCCTCCCATTTCCCCCCAAGCCAAAGGGCATGAAATTTACTCCATCAACGTGACTTGAATGCCCACTCTGGAGTTCTGGGGGCAAAGCAGATCGCCTGACTCCTCAAAATGACCCAACCGCAGAAAAGAGACAAATGCACCAGCTATCCAAGAACAGCTTATTTCAGTCCCAACTGGAACTGGAAAGCTAATGGCCAAATTAGTAAATAGAGCTGTGCAGGGGATATTAATCTAAAAAGGGAAAGATAATTTGCTTGTTGCTGCAGCATCCAAACCTCCTTGAATCAAAGGCACCTTTTCCTGGTTCTGGCCAGTTAAAGAAAGACACAAATTCTTCCTGTGTGATCTAAGTCATATTTTCCTTTGCAACTGAATCTCTGCACAACTATTCAAGTCTGGGGGGGGAGGGGGGGGTTGCATGCCAGAATCAGAGAGAGCTCTTGCTGGGTCTTTGTTTCTTTTTTACCTGCTGCGCCGTTTCAATTCTTTCATTTTCCATACCAAAAGAAGAGAATCCTTTCAAAAGAATGTTCTCCGTAGACTCTGGCACTGTGGCTGTCAGTGTGACTGTTAATGATGGCTGGACAAGGCTATTTAAATCTTCTATGGGTAGCTGTTAAAAGAAAGAAAAAATTCAGTTCCCATCCTGTGAAGCCCATAAGCTTCCTGGCATTGACAGTATTGTACAAGTGATTCATCTCTGGTTGCTAAGTGATAAAATATTGAAGCGAAGTCTTTAAATACTATACGTATGCATACAATATATACACATACCAAGGGAGAATCAGACCCTGATAAACACACCACAATCCTTGAGTGGCAATAAGAATCACAAGGTCCAAGAGCCAAAATGTAACATTAAACTGCAATTAACATTCAGGTCATGCTAAAAAAGCCAAGCTGTTTAAATAATGTCTAATCATATTGTGTAAACCAGTGTTTTTCAACCACTGTGCCGCGGCACACTNATCTATCTATCTATCTATCTATCTATCTATCTATCTATCTATCTATCTATCTATTATAAATATATTTTCCCGTGTAAGATATATATTCTTCAGCCTGAATCTTTCAATTGTAGAAAATTACTCTGGAGGGCAATTATTTTGGGGGGGGGGGCAGGAGGGGTCAGGAACGAGCTCCTATTACTCTGTGGAGACCCCAGGCAGCTCATGAGCAATTCCCCAGCAACCCACCTGAAGGCCTACAGCTTCTTCCCAAAATGTGAGGCGGCTGCCTAAGGCCCCTCTTGCTCCTTCGAAGCCCAACCTTGAGATGCCAAATGGGGACTGATAATGCTCTCCAGTCCCTCAGAAGCCTCCCCTGAAGGGAGGGAGCCATGCTCCTCAGGAGCCCCCAGGGACGGGCTCTGAAGGGGACCCCAAGCACATGCTGAGGAGAAACCGAAAGCCTTCCCTAGTTCTAGGACAGAAGCCTCTGCTGAAGAATCAATAACTGGAAACATAAACTATTAGCACAGCGAAGAAGCAACGCGCAGTGAACAGCTGAAGGCAAAAACCGGCTATAGATGTGAGGCTTCCCTAGCAACAGCCCTTAACGCTCCTATGCCACTTCCCAGGGCTCTGCAGCCCCCCCCCCCCCCGAGCAGTTCAGTGTCAGAATCCCTGAGAGGCACCGAATTCCAAAGGTTCTTCAGCTGGGAGTAAAATACAGAGGGGATCCCCCCCGAGCAGTTCAGTGTCAGCCTCTTGCCCCCAACAATCTGGGTCCTCATTTTTTCGCCCTCGGGACGGAACGCCGAGTCGACCTTAAGCCGGCCAGGATCAAACTAGGGATACACAATTCTGTGAAAAAGTGTTTCATCTATTTTGGGCTTTTCTGAATCCAATTTTCTACCCGGATGATTGAAGGCAACAGGCGGATCCTGTCAGCCGCTTAGAGAGGGCTGTCAAACACTGTGAAGCGGTAAATAAATCTAAGTGCTGTTGCTCTCTCTTTGCCCCGAATGTGAATGGAAAGGGGTCCTGGTTGAACAGAGAACACCAACGGGGGG